TAATTCCAGACCCTAGGGGTCGCTTCCCTCTCAGCTGCCTGGGCAAGGAAGCCAGAACTGTTCAGTGCCTGACTAGCAGGTAAAAACCCTTTTACTGGGCCAGGCAAGTCTCCCTTCTCCAGCAGGGGTGGCATTCGTGGCTGGGCCTTTGCTCCCTGGGCTGATGGTTGGATAGAGGGGAACGTGCAGGCTTTGGGCAGTGCTGCTTGTAGGGGAAGTGATGCTTGGCGGGGTCTCTGACCACGGAGGAGGCAGCTGTCCCCACAGTGGCCTCACACCTCCAGGCTCTGGACTAAGTGAGGTGTGAAGGTTAAATGCATGTGCTTTCTCTTTCCTGGTGATTTGCAGGTTCGGGATTACTAGTTTGGCCACGGCTGAAGGTGAGGGAAAAGAACGTTGGTTCCTCCTTCCTGAGCACTGTTCCAGCCCCCTGGCTTTTGAGGACCAGGGAGAGGAGGAGAGTGGAGGGGATCATTTTGGAGTTCTTTCCTGGCCAGGGGAAAGGAAATGAACACATCCAGCAAGGACCTGGCAAGGACCTTCCACGTCCTCCCACCTTCACTCCCAACATCATTGGCCCCGTCAGATTTCCAGTTTCTACTCAAGAAAAGGAGACTCTGAAATTGGGTCAATCAAACAGGCAGGCGGATGGATGGGTGTGCGTTTAGAAACATTTTACAGTGTTTACTTACAAACTCTTCTCTGTTCAGTCAGGCCCACACCTGGAGCCAAGTTCGTGTTATTGGATATCCAGCATAAGAGTAAGAAAACTACATTCTAAACATTCTATATAACACGAACTTCCTCAAATCTGGTTGTTTTTCACCACAAGGACAAGCCTAGAGCATGGTGAGTGATGGTGATTTTCCTGGTGTCCCCCTCCCCTCCCTGATCCAAGGTGTCCAGGAGGAAGGATATACTCAGTGACTCTGAAAACCACCTGATGGAGGAGGAAGAGGAGGAGGAGGAGGAGAAGGAGGAGAAGGAGGAGGAGGAGGAAGAAGGCAAGACTGGGAACTACTATTAGCAAATCTCTGCTATGTAAGCATTCCGTCTTGAATCCCTCCAACCCCGGGGAGGCGTCCCGCCCCTCCCCAGTTACCGGGTTCCCCCTCCCCATTCCTACCTCCTCCACCCTGAATGCCAATCTACATCAGACTTGACCTGTTTATAAATGTTGGGGGTTGGAGGGAGTCCTTGCCCTGAAGAGTGTAGTTTTCCCCAGTCCAGCTCTCTTAGAGAATTTCCTGGCTCTGTGGGTCTTTAACTCCTGAATCCCACTGTCCTGCAGACTCCCTAGTGGGTTGTGAGTGCAGAAATTCTGGCGGCAAGCTGAGATGTCCCAATGAATGCTTCCATAGAAGCCACAACCCAGCTCTCTAGCTTGTCCTCCTGGGCTTCGTGAGATGTCACTCTGTCTGGCTGAAGGTGGGTGCTGCAATCAGCAGGGTCACACGGAGGCAGACACTAAACAGCTTTGTCTCTCTCACGGCTAACCTCTAAATGCACAGCTTCATTGCCAGCCTTTAGCAGGAAGGGAACTTGTTCAGCGAGCCTCAGGAGGTATGACTGAGGGGAGGAGGAAAGAGGAAGGAGGGAGACAGCAACCAAAAGGAAAGGGAAGAGAGGCACGGACTGAGAGGAACCTTCTGGAATGGTCTGTATCTGTTCAAGAATGAGGGCATCTCACCATTCTCTGTTTCAGGCTCTTGTGCTCACAGAGATTTTTCAAGAGCCAGATGTTTAAAAGTCCAGGCAGGGTTTTTGCAGTCGGTCCTGAAGGTTTCAGTTGAATTTACCCTGCCTGTATTAGACTCACTGGAGTCAATGGTTGGAGCCAGGAAGATCAGATTCCCTCCAAAGGCAATGGAGGCATTCATCCAAGAGCTGGGGTGGGGGTGGAGGGTCCCTCGCAATGTTTGTGCTCTCCCCTTTGTTGGGAGGGAGCACCTGTCCAACTTGCTTAGTCAAGTTCCTCCTCATCCAGCAAGCCAAGCAGCAGAATGTAAATCCTCCTGGGATTTAAAAAAAGGTGGACGTTCTTTCCAAAAGTCTGGTGGTGCATGAAGGTATTGACCTTCAATCTGAAGAATTTTAGAAACCTGTTCCCCAGCCATTGTCTTGGTAGCCTGCCTTCTTCTCCAGCGTCCACCACGTGACGCTAACATTCTCTTCTACTGGTCTGTTGTCAGGAATGGCTGGCCCTTGGGCATGCGATAATTTTCCAGGCAATGCTATAGGACCACAGATGCCACAGAACGGTAACTAACAACGTACTCCTCTCACTAGCTCTGGGTTACTCAGGGCTGTGCCAGCAATGACCATAGATAAAAGAACAAGTGTAAGGAATGGATTTTGCGGGGACGTCTGGGTGGCTCAGTTGGTTAAGCAACTGCCTTCGTCTTAGATCATGATCCTGGAGTCCCAGGATTGAGTCCCAGGATGGAGTTCCACATCGGGCTCCCTGCTCAGCAGGGAGTCTGCTTCTCCCTCTGACCCTCCCTCCTCTCATGCTCTCTCTCTCTCAAATAAATAAATAAAATCTTAAAAAAAAAAAGAAATGCATCTTGCCCTCTGGAGGCTCAAATTGGAGTGAAGGATATAGGATGTTTGCATGTGAGACACGCGAGGACAACAAGAGACGGTATATGATCACAGGTGAAATGATGATGGCATGATAACAGCAGTTGCTCCCAGTTCTGGAGGGACAGGCCCCATGAAGGGCATGACATCTATTCTCCCAACTGAATCCCCATAAACAACCCTACATGGGGAGTTTCCATTAAAATGTCCATTTTCGAGCCGAGGGAACTCAGATTTGCAAGGAGTGAATAATCTGTTACCACAGGTGATCAGGGCAGGCAGAACTAAGATTTTATCCCCAACTTTTAATTTTGGAAACACTTCCAAACTACAGGGAAGTTGGAAGACTAACATAGGGAAGGTCCATACCATCCCCCCTCCAGTCACCAAGTGTCCACTTCTTACTACATGTGCTCTCTCAGTCCATTCTCTGTCTCTCCTCCCCCCTCCCACACACATCCCTACCCATTTCTTTTCCTGACCTACTTGAGCGTGAATTGCAAACATCATAACAATTCCCTTCTAAATACATCAACATGGACCTCCTTGGAACCTCTTTTCTCACTAAATCCTGATCCAGCTATCCCATGGCAGAAACTTAGGCGGGATTTGAACCCTGCTCTGGCTCCAGAGCCCCGACCACAAGCGAGACAACAGTTCAGTGGGAGAAGCCATCGGTGCGGTCTGGGAATTCCAGATTTTCTGTGGACTCTCGACTCCTGATTATTCCTAGCAGGAGCTGGCTAAGTGATCACAAAACACGTGTAATCAAAAAACAAAAATCTGAGAGTGGTGCCGGGGTGGCTCAGTTGGTTGGGTAGAGATCCCTGGGGTCTTGAGATCCAGCCTTGCCCCGGCCTCCCTGCTCAGCGGGGAGCCCTCTTCTCCCTCTCACTCTCTTCCTCCCCTGCTCCTGCACTCACTCTCTCTCTCTCTCTCTCTCTCTCTGTCAAATAAATTAATAAAATCCTTTAAAAAAATTCTGTCGTTTTCGAAATGCATCCTATTTGAGTGGGAGGGATTTGCATGGATTTGCCTTCCTAATTAGCTTCTTCTCTGGCCAGTATTAAAATGGGTCTTTCCTAAAAATAATAATAACAATGATAAAAATAATAAAGTAGGTCTTTCCCAACCACCTGCTGACGTGACAAGTCCGGGTGGACAGAAGTTATGCACTGATTAAACCATAATTGCAGAAAATCCATTAAGTGGGCAAGCCACATGTGAATCATAGAGAACGGACCATGAATTCTAGCTAGGCAGGAATTCTTGCTAGAAATCTTAGCCATGGGTGAGGATTAAGCATGCAAGGTGTAAATCTAGTCCTTGGGCAGTTGTGTTCCCCCTCAACTACCAAGTTAAGAGGAGAGGGGCCTACGCTCTGCTCTGTTCCAGAGGGCGCCGTCTGCCCGCCCAGTGAAATTTCAGAAGCGGGGTGTTGCCTATTGCGGATAGAAGGGAAAATTGCTACCGACTGGCTAAGAGCCCTTGAGGGACAGGGACCTGGTTTTCTTTTTTCTTCTAATCCGGAGAAGGCCTGTTTAGAAAGGCCGTCAGATTAATGACCCCCTGAACATGCACACAGGAGAAATCTTGACCTTTAAAAAGCCCTTGATTTCTCACAGTCATTTTAAAAAGCCCAAAGCCCGCATGTACGTTTCCTTGGCTTTTCACACGGTCACCAGACACTTCGCAAATCAAAATATTGCAAAATCAGATGTTGCCTCCACATTTCAGATGCCAGGGCGGAGACCCCTTTTTACTGAACTGGGGCTGGGAAAGAGGCCCCCACTGGGTCTTTCAGGTTGCAAGCCTTAGGTGGCACTTTTGCTCTTTCTCCAGTTCTCTTGGTTTTCCGCAGGTGCAACCCGATCAGCGATATCTCCGACTCCACCTAATGCAAACCGTGTTATAATGGGGATGCATTGTGCATACACGATCTCTGCTGGGGACTTCCATCTGAAGGGGATTGAGATTTTACAACTCTAAGGACGGTCATGCCCCTTTCCCTTTCCCTTTGCCTTTCCCTTCCCTCTCTCTTTCGGCTTTATGACTCCAGCCTAGCTTAGGGTGTAAATCATTTTCCTTAAGATTGAACGAGAACAGCTCAGAGGGGTAAAAAAATAGTGTTCAGATTGAGGGCGGGATGTTTGCAACAGGGCTACTTAAAATCCGCTTGGCCTTTCTCTTCTCCGCTCTGCCCCTCACGCCCCCCCACCCCCAGCCTGCAGAATCTAAAATGCCAGAAAGTGACTTGTTCACATGGCCTTCCCCAAGCCGATGAGTGTCCTTCTCTGCCCGGAGGTAAAGGTCTCGGCTAAGCCCAGAGGGCTTCCCACCTTGAGACTCCGCATACTCCTTAGCTCCGCTGGGATACAAACGGGCTAAGACTGAGCATCTGGTATTTTGCACTGAAGATGCTGCAGTAGCGGGAAGTCGGAGGCAGAGGAAAAAGGGGAGTTAACAGTTCGCAGCCTTGTAAGGAACAAGCCCGGCCCTTTTTGGACCTAGTTCAGAAGACAGCGAAAGGCCTCGAGCAGAAACTTTATCTGGGTTTGTGCACCGGCCCGCAGGCGTGGGCCGTGCGTGCGGACCCCTGGCTGCCGAGCTGTTCCGCAGACATGCCCGCGGCACCCGCCCCGGGGTGGCGCAGCGGTTCCGAAGAACCATGGCTGGCTTCTATGCCTGCCTGAAGAATCAAGAGTAAGTCGCGGAGGAGCCGATGGTGGCGGAGCGCTCGGCCGCAGCCGCTGGGGTCTCTCCCCGCCCAGGGTGGGGCGCTCGTTGCCGGCGGGGCCGGCCCGGAGTCAGCCCGGGAAGCCGGGGCTCGAACCCGTCGCCCTGTGGCAGCGCGCGCGGGGAGCCGGGCGCAGGTGGACGTGGGAAAGCGGCTCGGGCCGGGGGTGGGGGGGCGCGGGGAGGGCGCACTCTCTGCCCCCCACGGCCGCAGCACCTGGCTCACCTGAGTTGCCCCGGGCGGGCGGAGGGGTCGGGCGGGGGAGGCGGGGCGTCTCGCTGGGGCCGCTGCGGTTGTCGATTGGTCGCCTCGCAGAGGGAAGGAGGGTCGCCGCGTAGGAAAGAGGTGGCCAAGCGGCAAAAGAGTTGGACCGGGGAGTACCGCTATTCCCGGGGTCCCCCCCCGCCCCACCCCGCAGGAGGCCCTACCTCTCTCCCAGAGCCAGGGTCGTCCGCAGCACCCGGGCAGCCTCCCCGGAGCACGTGACAAATGACTCGAGGGTCTGAGAAGGGACAGCAGCGCCATGAGGACGCTTCCATCCCAGGGGGGCGCGCAGCCAGAGAGAGAGAGAGACGAGGGCCAAGCTACAGGTTCCCACGTGCACGTGTAATAAACGTACATCCCCATCAAATAAAGCGCCCAGCGGACCGGGATTTTACAAGGCTAATTTCATTGACTAGGGACACGGCTGAAATGGCCTTCGCCGTGATCATTCATTCAGTGAAATTGTGGGTTTCAGTGACACCGAAGTGTTTGGTTCTGGCCTTAGTCAGCAACTGGCTGGGCTGAAAATTCAGATATGGGGGGCGGGTGGGTTGGGGAGACGCTGCGGCAAAAAGTGAGAGAGACAAAGGCAGAGACAGGGAGAGACAGACAGAGAGAGACAGAGAAGAAGAAGAGAGAGGACAAAGGAAGGAAAGAGAGATGGAAAGCACAGAATTTGGATGAGTGGAGAAAAATCACTTTAACCTTTCTGAGTTGTCTTCTAAATTTTCTAAATTTGGTGCCAACTGTGCAAGCTGCAGGTTCCCTGTACCGGGTGGGCATGGGCTCCACACCGTTTACGCTCGCGTTGCACCCACCACAGTGACAACAGGAAAAGATATTAAGCCAAACGGACCCACTTGTACGGCTCATTAGCGGGGGTGCGAGGTACGTGATTATTCTCCAGTGCCATTCATGAAGCTGTCACTCTCTGAATCGGGGCCAGAAACTCACCTCGATCACAGCAGGTCTCCAATAGCACATGGCCCCCGCTGCTCTCTCCTCTCATGGCAAGGCACCGGACAGACAGAGACTGGCAGCCTCTGATGCGATTTTCCAGGGTGTCCCCCTTTGGAGGTGGTTCAGGCAGGGAGGGTGGGGACACTGGCCGCCCCCTTCCGCTATTGCCTCAAAACTGGCCCTGTAGCCTGTTCCTGTTGGGCCTGGAGTGTCTACCTATGAAAAGTGCCCTTGGCATCTTTTTGAAAACCCCGCCTCTGGGGCTCACCTGACTGCCCTGGCCTTAGCCTCTGGCCTTGGACACACACGGTGGCAATGAGGGCATTTTCTCTACGTAATTCACTGTGGCACCAGATGACAGAGAGGTTGGCCGTGGAGGCCTTGGGAGGCGAGGGAGATGGAGCCACTGCTGTGGTAAGTGATAAGGGCAAGGTTATCGCTCCTAGGTGAGCGTCGGGCCCTTCTTCCCTGGCCCGAGAGTATTAGATTCTCCTGCTTGAACCAGGGGCCTTCCCCAGGGCCCCTTCATCCCAATGTCTGCCTTCCATGGAGGGGATCCAGAGCAGCCTGAGGCCTTTGGGGTGGAAAAGCGGCCCTCATGGACCAGCGGCTCTTCCTGTCGCCCCGGCTGAAGGCCTGAGCTCATCTGACCGTTTACTGAAACGAGGCTGAAGGAACGGGAGACACCATAAGAAGGCATTTGAGGAGGTTAAGGAACCACGGTCTCTGTAAGTACGTGGATGGGAGTCCCTCGGGGGACTTAACGGGGAGAGAGACCCGTAGACCTTCGAAAACATGGCGCACCTGCTCCTTGGGAAGCCGTGTGCTCAGCACTGTGGGAGGAACGTGTGCTTTCCTTTCCCACAGCCAAGCAGGCACGGTGTCTGACACAAGCATTTGGTGAAGGCGTGTTGTCGACTGAACCAAGATCCCCTTGGGAAGCTTGTCTGCTTAGGGAGCGGCCAGCCGGGTAAAGGGAGGTCTGCAAGAGGTGGGGCGGGGGGTATGAGCTCAGTCCGGGAGAGGTTTCGAAATTTCTTCCAAGCTGTACGAGATGCAGCCTCCCAGCCTCCATCCCCTCAGCGCCTCCAACAAGAGGGGCTCCTAGAATCACAGCTTGGCCATATCAGGAGGGGAGCGCCCTTTCAAGGAACCCCAGTAGGCAGGACTTGGAAGTCGAAACGCGGGTGGAAACACAAGTTGGTTCAGTTTTCTCTGCAGATCGCACTTGCGGTCCAGATTTTCCAGGTGTGGACGGTTATTTGATGAGTTGGAGATGTTTATTTGTTTGTCCCCAGGGGACCGGTTTTGGTGTTTAAAATCTGAACTGGTTATGGTGGATATAGTTCTTGCTTGAGGTAACTAGCCAGTAAGTCCTGTTATTTTCACAGACATGGTGTGACAGCAGGGGACGGCAGGAATTTATCAAGGGATTTGTGAATATGCTTATTGGTAGAAGGGACAAAAATACTAGTGGTCTTGAATTATGTGCCACCGTAATTATGTGCCAGTACATGAGAAGATGAAGGGAAAGCAAAAGAACTTTTTTAAAAAGTGTTTTATTTATTTATTTGAGAGAGAGAGAGAGAGAGAGAGGGAAAGCTAGCAGAAGTGGGGGGAAGGTCAGAGGCAGAAGGAGAAGCAGACTCCCCATTGAGCAGGGAGCCTGATGCAGGGCTCCATCCCAGGGACCCCGGGATCATAACCTGACTCGAAGGCAGGCGCTTAATCTCTTAATTGCTTAATTGACTGAGCCACCCAGGCGCTCCAAGCAAAAGAACTTTCCTAACCAGACAAGATCCTATAACGGTGGCATGGGTGAAAATGTTTTTATTTTAAGGGTGAGGATATCGGGCCCCAAAGACATTAAGTGATTCTCCTTGGGCCACACAGTCAATGACAATTCCAAGATCAGAATCCTGAGTACCCTGACTTGCAGCATAGAGCTGTGGTGTGTAGCGTGTGCTAGAGGAAGGGTCATCTTTTGAGCAGAGAACCGGAAGCATGCGCCCCCTCCTCCCCACCACCCCAGGATGCCGTGGGATCTGGCTGGGGCTGCTGCAAAGGCAGCTCGAGCCCAAGGCAAAAGAGTGAGCTAGGGCAACTTTGTTCTTGGCGACCCCAATCTCTCCAGTTACAGCCCCTTTTCCACTATGGCCCCCTTCCCACTCCAGGTGTTCTGGGCCTGAACATTGCCCTTCCCTCCCAGCCTGTCTTCTCTAAGCCTCTGTCGTCCCTAGGCTGTGAACTTCCCCTTGGCTGACACCCTGGCATCCTTGGTTCTGGGGGCTGGATCTCAGACAAACTGACGTGCGATGTTGGATTCCTCCTGACAATGTGCGTTTCCATAGGATTTCAATGCTTCCGTGCCACTCTGATGCTTGGTGGCCATCTCGGGGAGCTTGCCAGGGCAGTGGGCCCCTCATATCATGCCAGTCGGCTTCTCCGACTCAAGAACAGGGTTCAGGAAGGTGAGGCTTAGTGCTTTGGCAACAGGCATCTGACAGCCGACCGGGGTGTAGGTATTGTAATGGATGGGCCAGCAGGCTCCCCTTGGCTGCAGACCTTCCCTGATGCAGACCTTCCCTGATGCTGCTGGAGACCAGAGGCTACAAATGCTGAGTTTTTATGAGTTCTAGATGCAAGGATTCAGGGGACCAATGCATTCCTTCTTTGCCCTGCGGAGGCCCCTGGCACCCAGAGGCTGGAGGAGGTCTCAACCCGCAGGTCCTTCCAGTAGCTGATGGTCTTGGAGCTGCTCCCCATCCACCTTCAACCTGTTCTCTTGTTCTCCTTCCCCTCCTCCTCCTCCTTTTTGTTTTAGAAGAAAAGCTGGGAAGTCCAGTTCCCTGGCAAGGGGCACAGCCTGGGTATTGCATTTTGCTAATCTGTGTTCTCCCTGTGGCATCTGCCTGAGGCAATTTCCATTCATGGAAGCTCTAGGAGAGCTGGTAGAGTGGCAGGTTCTAGTCTCCCAGCCTCTGGGGAGGCACTGTCCCAGGTCCCCCAGCCTCACTAGGGGCAAGTTCTTTTTTTTTAAGATTTTATTTATTTATTTGACAGAGATCACAAGTAGGCAGAGAGGCAGGCAGAGAGAGAGAGAGGAGGAAGCAGACTCCCTGCTAAGCAGAGAGCCCGATGCGGGGCTCAATCCCAGGACCCTGAGATCATGACCTGAGCCGAAGGCAGAGGCTTATCCCACTGAGCCACCCAGGTGCCCCAATATAGGTAAACTTTTTAACTCATAAAAATTCATTAGGAGGAAATTGTTCTAAAGCTGTTTTTTTTTTTTTTAAAGCTTTTGGAGATCTCTCTGAAGATGTCGTTGGCTCAGTTCATTTGGTCATTAGCAGTGTCCTGCGTGTTCCGTTTGCTGCAGGGAGGTTGAGTTTCCTCGAGAATACACTTAAAAATGTGGAAACGTGTGTTATTTTGTCAAGAACCAAAATTTCAGCATTTTATATGAGAATGTTCAGGCGGGTGTCATTTGAAGCCTTCAAAAGTCCATTTTGTGTTGGACCAGCTTTAGTATTTGGGGGATTCTTTCGCTAATTTCTCAAGGGGCACAATTTTTGTCGTTTGTTATTTCTGGAAATCAGTAGCCAAAATGGGGTATGTGATCTGGTCATTCCTGTCGTTTCCTCATTGATTTGCTCCTTTAACATTCTTCTAGTTTTTTAAACCAACCCGGTTGTATCTTTCCTTTACAAAATTTTTTTTTTAATTTTTATTTATTTATTTG